GAGAGGAAGAGAGAGAGGGAGAGAAAGGGGGGAGAGGGGGAAGGGGGAGGGGGAGGGGGGAGGAAAGGTAATAAGAAAGAGAAGTCCACTTGAGGACCCTTTGCTGCGCATACAACCCATTATTGCAACAAAACTTGGTAAAATCCATAAAGCGTTCCCAGTCACCAAAGCAATTTAAGAGATTTTCAGGACCTTTGCCCAAGGGTCCCTGAAGTATTCTCCATTAGAAGCGCCCAGGGCCAGCCACACAACAGCAAAGAGGGTCTTCCTAGGGAGGGACAGAGAACAGTCTAAGAAACCGTTGACCTCCTCCCTTCCTGCCACCTAAATTTGCGTTTTTTGTTTGCTTGTTTGTTGAGGAGTGGTGATGTTGTTTGCTTCAGGTCTGCTAAAGAAAAAAAAATACTAATGGCCAAATGCCTTGTTTATGAAAAAGGAAAATAAAGATGACTGGCAGTAGTGGTGGGAAGGGTCTAAAGAATGTTTGGGGGGTTGTTTTGTTCTGAATAGTCCAGGGAAAATTAGTCCACTATACCATGGACTAAGCCACCCGCCCCCTTACCTGTATCTCCTCATCCCACCCATCCATCCCTCCCTCCCTCATGACAATCCCACTTTCTTCTTATCACATTAATTCAATATAGTAACTGCTCTGTCTGGGAGGGGGAAAGAGTCTTCTCTAAAAGGACACACAGAGCAACAAATGGGAAGGAAACAGACAAAGCTTGTGAAATCCCAACCCCTGTTGGTAGAACGACATCATAAATTATGGATCCCTCGAGCCGCCTCCGGCCTGTCACTGCTTGGTTTGTCTCCATGGACGTGCCGGGCGCGGGCGACACTGTTGTCCTGGAGCCTCGGGTGCCCCCCCTCTCCAGCCTTTCCCTGGCGCCCCGCGGGGCAGCCCGGCCTGGGGCCGCGGGGACAGCGCGGCGCTCAACCCCGAGGGACGCACCAGCTGCAGAGACGACGCCCCCCAGCCGGCCGAGCACAGGCTCGCCTTTGTTCCCGGGGACTCCCGCGGGGACACCCGGAGCTGGCCTGGGCGCTCAGGTCCCAGCGGGGCCAGGCCGAGTGGAGGACGCGAGGGCGCACAGGGCGGGCGGGCGGGCGGACAGGGAGGGTGAAGGCTGCTCAGCCATGGCGGCCTTCCTGGGCGGCGTGGCGGGGACCCCAGGGGCAGCGGGCGACATCTGTGCCAGAGAGGGAGAGAGAGAGAGTGCGCGGGGAGGGGGGGGGGCGTCACACTCAGGACGCCCATCTGGCCCGGCTTTGCTCCGGTGCCAGAAGCCAAGAGGCAGAAGTCAAGGTTAAACGCTGCGGCGGGGCTGCGGCCCCCTTCGCCCGGCCCGACTCCCTGCAGGAGCCCCGCGCCGGCCCCGCCGCCCCACCTTGCCCTTTGTCTTTGCTAGAGCAGATGTGCGGTGACCCCTGCTAGCATCCGTGCTGTCGGGATTAAAAGAGCCTCCACCCTGTTTAGCAACTGCAGCTCTCCTCCCCCGACCCTCACTAACCCACCTCTTGGGGGTTTTTTGTTTGTTTGTTTTTGCTTTTGAGTTTTGGCAATAAGTCAAAACCAGTCATCATAAGATGCACAAACCCCTCGGTTCACATTTAAATCTGTGTGCCAAGTTGGCTGCTCTTACACCCTTTTAGCGGCGTAACCATCGCCACAGACACAATGAATTGTGAGATTAAAGTTAAAAAAAAAAAAAAAAACTCATCCTGCAGATGTCTGCCGAGGGCTGTCCCACGGAGGAGTGTGGAAGGTCTTTGTGTGCATGTATGAGTGTGCCTGTAAAGCCAACAGCAGCCTCACGTTTGTTCTGCGGTCATTTGTTTTAAATATGCCTTTAAAATAATTAGTGATGAAAGTTATCCGACTCAAACCTAAGCAACCCTTTGGCAAGCTCTAGTTCCAGAAATGAATGGGAGAAATGGGAGAGTGGGATTCCCGATGAGGCGGAGAAAGGAGAACTCCGATGACGCCAAACTGTGTGTGACTCAGGGCCCCAGAGAAAATGTGGGTAGAGGAAACATGGGGTGGGCTGGGGTGGGGGGCGGCTTCCTGGATTTCTGTTTCAGGAAGAAACCAGCGGTGAGAGGGAGGGCAGATAGGGGAAGGGTGAGGTAAGGGGCTGCGGAGAGAGCTGGGCCCGGGGACTCGACCAACAGGGCCTCCCGGAGGCGAGGAGGGAGGGCGGCAGACGACAGAAAGCTGGGCTTTCTTTGTTTTGTTTGTGTGGGCAGGGCTAGGCCCTGAATACGCCTACGTCTGCACTCTGAGGTCAGCTGCCCAGCGAGGTAACAGCTGGCACCTGTGTGTGAAATGCAGCGTGCATTAGCGGCATCATTACTTAGCATTAGAGCATTACAAAGATAATTAGAGGAGCAGGGGACAGAAGGAACTGAAACCGCAGCCTCCCTGGCTTCTCAAACGCCCAGGTTACAAGTGTAATTTCAAGGATTTAGAGGGCCGCCTTGCACAGAGTAGCTGGTCTGTGACTTCAAGAGAACTCCAAAGAGACCCTGCGACCAAGGGCAGTGCTGGTAGAGGAGAGAGGCTTCTTTCCAGGCCTCGTCTTGGCTCGAGAGCTAAATTAAGGTCACAGGTAATGGGTCAGAGATCTTTGTACTAGTTTCTAATATCCAAATTAATTCCACCTGGAACACCAGAAATTATTATTATTTTTTATTGCATTTGGTGTCTGATAATTGCCTCAACAGACAGCAGTTGCTAAGTTTGTACGTGTGGGACCGTGTGGTAGGATCTTCGGCTCAGGCCTTAGAGCAGCCTTATTGAGTCACGTGATAAAAGAGAGCGCAGGCTCCCGAAGTCTGGGAAAGTGCGACTACGGATTTCTTCGCATTTGTTTCCATTTTTTTCCCATCTGATTATTTTTCGTTTGCAGCACTAGAGTTGAACCTAGGGTGGGGCCTAAATTCTACCCCTGAGCCACATCCCCAGCCCTGCTACCTGGTCTAGTCAAGACCTCAGCTGCTTCTGTCTGCTGCCTGGAAGTTGAGGAAATGTCACTAACAGGACAGCAAGGGGAAGTGAGTGGTGTCTTTTTGTTTTCTGTAGCCTGAGAATTCTGTGAAGGCTGGCTTTCCAGACACACGTTCTCTCTACATGCGTGCTCATTTGTGTCAACTGTGTTAGGTCAGGATGGGGGCAATTTGGAAATAAAAGAAATAGATAGATCCATCCAGAATCAGAGTCGATCCTTACATCAGAACTGAAGGACCACAGTCTCTCCGGGAGGGGGAGGCCAGCCTGCAGAGGTGGATCAGGGGAACTAGGGGCTCCCAGGACAGGAAAGGGGGGCGGTGGAAGTTCCTTCTGCAGGACAGTCCCTTTGCCTTCTCGAGTGGTGGATGGCACCAGAGGCATGCCTCCTGGATCCCGGCAGCCACAGGTGTTGTCAGTGATGTCAGCTTTCCTGTGTAGAGCGTCTCTGTCACCCAGGCTTTTCACCACTAACCTTCAAAATGTAGCTTTCACAAAAGTAAATACTGTTGTTTCAGGAAGCTAATTCTGAGCAGTGCTTTCTTTAAGATCAGTACACTAATTTAATATTGAAAAAAATTCACAAATTTGATCTGTGAAGTTTGTATGAAGTCAATAAGATTTAACAGTAGGGAATTCAAATTAGCTTTAGATTCGAGTCCTACCTAAGTCAATAAACTCACTTTCCTGATCCACTCTCCCCCCCCTCCCCACACTGTAGTAACTGAAATCAGAGAAGACATTTAATTCCTGGTGTACACGTTGCATTTATATAATGCAATCTGATTATAATGTTATTGTTCATTATTACTAACAAGTCACTAACACAACTGGGCAAGTGTGTGTGTCCTGTGTCTCGGGAAATGTTAAGTATTTATTATCTCGTTCAGTCATTACAATGAACGCCCTGGCTTCTACACCTTCCTTTCCTCTGCACAGAAGCCAGGGAACCCTTGTCAAAGTCAACAAGGTCAAGTCTTGCTTAGTCAGGCCTTCTGGTGGCTTCTCAGCATGCTCAGAAGGCTTCCACTGCTTGCCCTGGTTGACACCAGCGGTCCTGAGCCTGAGCACCTAACTGCTCCATCAGTCCTCAGTTCATCTCTCCAAGTCTGTGTTACCTGTGCAGGCCTGTTCATCTTTCAAAATGGACCTCAGGGCCTTAGCACACCCTCCTTCCTCCGCCTATATACCGTTCTTTCCATCCTTTAAGCGTCTCTACTTCCTTTAAACCCCGTTCTTTTCCTTTAAAGTGCTTCTCATTTTGTCAACTCACTTTATCTTTGTTTGCATCCTGGTTCATTTTACCGTCTACAGCCCAACAGCAGGGCATTGGGGTACACCTTCAGTGTGGCTCCCACTATGTCCTCGACACCTGACATTCTGGGGACGTGCGATAATATTTGTTGAATGAATAAATAGATGCTTTCATAGATAGATACTGCTATTATCCTCACTTTGAAACTGAGGCTCAGGTTAGTCAAGTGGGCCTAGAACGAGGTCATAGCTATCTTGAATTGCTACTATTGATTGAAACCAAAAAACCATATGACAAACACATGATCCTGAAGAAATATCCAAATCTCGATTCTGCAGAAGGCCGGGATGTGGCTCAGTGGTAAAGCACATGCCTAACAAACACAAGGACCTGGTTTCATCCCCAGCATTTCGAGAAAAAGGAGGAAGCAGAGGAGGAGGAACGGAGAGTGAACACATCCTGTGAACCATTTCAGCTCATATCAAGACAGGGAATCCAGATCTACCTGACTGACACAGGCGCATCTACTCCAGCCACACAGGTACCAGTGACATGTCTGCAGATGCTGGATCTCCTGAGAGTTCAGGTTTTTTCCTTAGAACGTGTTTCTAAGCATTTGATCATAAACTGTTAGACTTTTCTTCTGGGAATGTAGCTCAGTGGTAGAGCATTTACTTAGCAAGTGCAAGACCAAGAGTTCATTAAAAAACAAAACAAAACAAATATCAGTTCTTTTCAAACAGTGTGGACAGGAGGCACGCATCTGCCATTACCTGCAGAACCAGGCAGAAAATGCTTTCCGTAGAGCACAGGAGCCCTCGGAAGCCACAGATGCAGGAAGCTGCTTGCTTCCCTCTGAATGTCGGCATCACTTGTGAGCAGTGCCACAGAGGAGAAGGTAAAATTGAAACAAAGAAGGGTCACTGTAATCACTATGGTGTCTGCAAAGTCCTGGGAGCCCTGCTTCCCCAGACGCTGTGCAGATGGCGTTTTGGTAGCAAGGAACTTGTCCCTGGGCCTTATCTTGGTGCGGCTTTCACCACTCAGCTAAACCTGCAGGGCCTTATAGGGGAAACAGAGAAGGGTTTCCAGTAAGGGCTTGGGCTGCCGAAGTAGCTTTCCCTGCAGAGAACTAAAGCCTCTCATTTCCTTCCGGCAGGAACCAGAGGAAAATACAGGAATTGATTCACACAGAATACAAACCACCAACCCCAGGAGGGAGGGGCTTTCCTGAAATATATGAGTGTCTCTGGTTTCACATGACGCTATGTATGGTTTATCCTTCACGAACCACAGGAGGCTGAAATGGTCATTTCCTGGCCCTCCAAAGGTGGTTTTCCAGTGAGGACTGCATTCTGACTAATCAATGTTGCTTTTCCCCCCTGTCTGAGTCTTTCTGCTTCACACAGACACAAAGCTGACTTATGCTGGGGGTGGGGGTGGGGGCAATGAAAAGGTGGCTGCAGAGAGCAACTTCAAGTTGGTCTTGGTATCAATCATCTCTGCGATTGTGAGAATTTAGGTCGCAAAGCCTCCCCACACAGCCAGTCTGGACAAGCATTCTCAGTGTATTGTTAAGTGTAAAGGAGATAGATTCTTAAGTATACTCAGTGTCCTAAGAAGTTCATAATACACACACTTGATGGGGACAGCACTAAGTAGAGAGTGTATGTTGTTTCCGTTTCCAATTCTCTTTTCCTCAGTTGGCTTACTTTCTTACACACCCAATGGCATTTGTGTCGGGGGAGGTTTCCAATCTTGAGACCTCCCAACATGTCTTTGCTGCTCTTGGAGGCTGACAGTTCAGCAGAGGTAGGCAAAGCAGAATTTCAGTTTGCTTTGCTGTCTAAGATACATCGATCATTTATTTAGGGCTGGAGAGTTGGTTCAGCAGTCAAGAGCACTCGTTGCTCTGGCAGAAGACCCATTTCCATCCCCAGCACCCACATGGTGACTCACAACCATCCATTTCCAGTGTCAGGGGATCCAGCACCCTCTTCTGACCTCCTCAGGTACCAGGCACAATGTGGTACACCTGCATACATGCAAACAAAACACTCATACACATAAACATAAGTAATCTGAAAAATTGTAACTGTCCATTCTTGGAGGCACTAACACTAGCAGAGACCACTGAGACCTCGAAAAGTATCTCCCTGCACCCCGGGTCCCCTTGGTGTTCTAGTCATAACCATCCACCTGCAGAAAAGGTGGTTTTAGGAATTGTCAGCACGTGAATGGTTTACAGAAATTGAAGGATCCCAGTTTTGCAAGATGATGGGTGAACATTCTCAGGAAGAAAATCCCCTGTCACTGAGTGGGCTCTGGTTGATATGGCCAGTAAACGTAAAGAGAGGTGGTCAGCATGGGGACATTGGAAAAGAGAGCTTGACCCCAAAATTGCCACACTCCCCCTCATATTTTAGGGGAGAGGGAAAAGAAGACAATCCTACCTTGGGCTAAAATTGCTCAATGCTCTGGGATTTGTCTCCTTACAGGAAAGATAAATGCAGAGGATTCCTGAGGACAGACATCAGTAGCCATCAGCAGTATACACACACATTGTCAGTGGCCTGGTATATTTTACACTAAGAATAAATGAATTAGACTCCTAGTTCCCATGTCAATGTCTTGTGGTTTGGGTTAAGCAAGAGCCAGTCTTAAGCCAAATACCTCCAGGCACCCTAACAAATCATTTCTTGCACAGAAACAGGCTATAGACTCACTTCCCCTGAGAGACCAGACCAACAGGCCGAACAGCCCAGATGATACCCGAAGTTTCTCTCCGTCTGAAGTCAGCCAACCAACAAACTGAAGGAAGCCCAGGGGGAAAGTGCTCACTTCTCCCCATGCGCATACCTGACTTGTAACACACCACTGATATTTGGTTTTGATTAATTGTGTTAATGAAGTTTACAGCACAAAGGCCTGATATTTGTTATATAATTAATGAAAAAAGCAGTCTTTTTTTTTTTCAAATATAACCTGAAAATAGATACCCTAAGTCAAAGTTTCTAAGGATTTTTTTTCTCCAGAAATAAGTGTCTAAAGAAGAATAGTTATGGATGTACCTGGTCCCAGCAGGACAAGAAGCCTGGACTATTTTCTGACAGAAGTGAAGTTTACACTGTGCTTATGACTAGGAGAGATGCTCACCAGGGGAGTCCGGTGTCTTAGGAAGTTGAGGAATGAAGAGATGCCTGCATGAATATGGTACCACTCAGAAAATCAGCAAATTCAGCCCCGCATGATTCCTTCATGGAGAATATTTGTTCACTATCCATGGGATACTTTCTTCATTGCTGGAAGGAAAGCCAGGCATGGTGTGGTCACATCAAATGACCTGGTGACAATTAACCCACATTTTCAGAGAGCATTCTGGTCCCGTCTAGGCCGGCATTTGCCTCAGAACTTTCCTCATCAGCGGGAGTCACTCAGGTGGTCCTTCAATCTACCTGAAGGCCTTAGACAAGTAATGTAAACCCTGGGAGAATGGGGCTCATAACGAGATAAGTAACAAAACGCCGCAAGCCTATTAGAGGGGAAAATTGGAAAGGTTGCAGCCAATTATTAATAAGTCACAAGAACATGACATGTCTAGAGAGTGCCTGGATGATAGAGGAGACATCTCCTGTGTGACGATCAGAGGTGGCTACCTGCCGCTAGCCTTAGGGACAATTCCAGCCATGGTCCATGTTTGATAGTCCACAGAGACAGGGAAAAAAAACAGTCAAAACTAGAATGAATGAAAACAGGATTTAAAAAAAAAATTATTTTAAAAAAACTTGCATTTTTTTTTACCTTATCTTTCTTGCAGACAAATTAAATTCTTTATTTTAGCTTGAATCCATCAACCTAGGTCAGGAAGAAAATAATAAAATGATCATCTCATTTAAGGCACCAGAAGGCTCCTCGGGAAGTGAAGCCACCCATTCCTAATGGAGAGGCGAGGATTTTGGGTGCGGTGGTGCATGGCTGTCAACGTAAGCCTCCGAAGGCTAAGGCGGGACACTGTGTCCAGCCTACCAGAGCTGAGTGAGTGACAAAAGGCTGGACCTAACAAGAGGCAGCAGGTCCCAGGGTGCGGCATGTAAGGAGGCCTCAAGCTCAGGCTCCTGCTAGTACAGGCACTTGGGAAGGAAGGCCTCCTCAAATTTGATGCTAACCTCGCTCTACCTCAGCATGCTAGTTCAGATGCAGATAAAATAAAGACTCCTTTACTAATCAAAATTAATTAAAGAAGTACTGGGCTTCCCATTCTTGTTATAGTTTAGATATTTTATATTATATGTAACATATATATTTACATGTTGTATGGCAAGTCCCCTGAATTATAACACCCTGACTACATTGAAGCAGTCAGGCATCTAAACCACAGCACTTCAAGAACAGGCTCTCAGCTGGGCGTGGTGGCATACACCTTTAATTCTAGCACTTGGGAGGCAGATCTCTGTGAGTCTGAGGCCAGCCTGGTCTACAAATTGAGTTCCATGACAGCCAGGGCTACACAGAGAAAACCTATCTTGAAAAACTGAATAATAAAAAAAAAAAGAATATACTCTCAGAAGCCTTTAGAAGCTTCTCTCCATATTTCCATCTGTGGTTAATAAAGCTACTTCTTGTTACTATTGAAAAGCCATTTATCATGTTCTGTACTTCCTGTAGGTATGGAACAACCAAGTGATGTCTTTACACTGTATATATATACTATATAGTATATTTACTATATATGTGTAGTATACAAGCAAACATATGCATATATTATACTACACACATTATTTATATATAGTATAGCATATTATACTTGTCTAACATGTGCAAAGCCCTGGGTTAGATTCTCAGCACAGGAACACATATACATATATGTATGTACTTCTTGCAGTGTTGAGAATGTAACCCAGGGCTTTGCACATGCTAGACAAGTACTCAGCTGCTGAGCCTCAGCCCCTCCCCCAGCCTGAACAACGTCTTCTTCCCTGTTTTTGTTTTTTTCAGACAGGGTTTCTCTGTGTAGCTCTGGCTGTTCTGGAACTCACCCTGTAGACCAGGTTGGCCTTAAACTCACAGAGATTTGCTTGCCTCCTGGGTGCTTCAGTTGAAGGCGTGTGCCACCACCGCCCAGCAGCCATGTTTTTTTTAACCTTTGTTTTCCTGAAAGTATCCTGTGGTCCCCTTTAGTCCTTCTGAACCCCTTTCATCTTCTCTTATCAAACTCATTTCCCGTTAGTCATTAAGATGACTTGTTTCTGGACTTTCCATGAACCATCCACTCTAGAATCTAAGAAACACACAATCTCTACAAAGACCTTTCTTTCAGTAAGAATAGCTTTGGTTTCTGTGGCATTTTTAGGAAAACTACGAGAAACTTGAAGAAAAATACAAAACTTGGTTGTTTGGCCACGAAGCCTTGATTATTGTACTGTTTCAGTAAAGTTGCCAGAGCCTGCCCCTCCACATAGATCCCCTGATTTCGGATGCTACAGTAGTCCTGCTTGACTATCTAGGCAAACGAGACTGATGGAAAGATAATAGCTGGCTGGTGGCTGTGGGGAGTTTTCCATGGCTACACTGCTTAATGGGAACACGTTACAGGGAACACAACAGACCCAGTGTCCCCTCTGTTGTATGTTGGTGTGAGAAACGCTGTATTAGTTGCCTTTTGTTGCTGTCATAAAACAAGACAACTTGTGGAAGAAGAAGAAGTTGATTTGTAGAATGATTGTGAAACTTTAGTGCACCATGGCAGGCAGGTGGGCGTGACAGCAAGCAGCGAGCATGGTGGTGCGGGTAGGAGACCGAGTCTTCACATCTTCAACCACAAGCAGGGAGCAGAGAGCAAAGTGGGAGTTGGGGGAAGCTACTGACTCTCAAAGCCCACCTTCAACAACATACTGCTCCCAGCAAAGCTGCACTTCTTCACTGTCCCCAAATAGCTCATCACCAAGTTTCCAAATACTTGAGTCTATGGGGATGCTTGGCGTTCAAACCACTGCAAATGCAGGGACCAGAAAGAACTTGAGGGAGAAAGAGTTTATTTCACCTTACATTTCCAGGTAACAGCGCAACACAGAGAAGTCAAGGCAGGAATCTGAAGGTGGGAACTGAAGCAGAGATCATGGAGGAATCCTGCTCACTTGCTTGCTTGCTTCATGGCTTCAGTTTAGCTAGCTTTCCTACACATCCCAGGACCCCCTGCCCAGGGACAGCACTGACCACAGCGGGCTGGGCCCGCCTATATCAATTAGCAATCAAGAAAACTGCCAACAGACATGGTGGAAGCCAATCGGATGGAGTTTGTGGAGGTGACGATAAAAACTAACCAGAATTCCCCGTGAGACACACTCTAAGGGGGTGTGAGAGTCAAGGGGAGCAAGGGTGGAGCAGAAAAGCACACCACACTCAGAAAGACTTGGGAATTGAGAAGTGGAAAAAGCCACGAGTTAACAGAGGAAGGAGACAGACAGACAGAGAGAGAGAGATTCTCTTTATCTATTGGGAAGTTGCAAGACATTGTACAGAAGTATGAAACTTCAGATAGTACTTAATCCTTAGAAATTATGTTTTTCCCCTTTATATGAAGACACAGAAAAATGTTTAATTTATAAATTTGACACAGTAAGAGACCAACAACCATAGGTAAAAACAAAGTAGAATGACCTTAACAATATTCTGTAAAGAATATTATTTAAAACCATGAAATGCTTACGTCTGGAATATTCCAGAAATAAACTCTTGGACCACAGTTGCTAGCAGGTAAATAGATTTTTGGTAATACAAAACACCTTGGATAAGGGAGACCACTATGCACAGTTGTGGCAGCGTGACCTGAAAGGGTCTGAGAATCTGCTGTGGGCTGCTTCTGCTTATGGACACCTATTCTCCTGTCTTCTGGCAGCAGCTGCCAGCTGGCCCCAGGTTTTCTTCCCTCCCCTGATGCCCACTTGCTTATGCAAAGAGCCAACCAGCCAGCATCATCTACATCCAGGCCTTAATGGCAAGTTCATAGACGGGTGCGTGATGCGATCTGTGTCAGCGGGAGCCAGCGGAGGAGCTTCCAGGACGCCTGCAAAGAGGAGTTCTCCATGGAAACCCCCAAATATCACAAGTTATTGCGAAGGCTCGTGGTCGCCATCCACAAGCTGATGGTAAGGCTCTAATGCGGAAGACAACACCACATATCTCATCGAACATGTAGAAGTCAAGCTGGTGCCTAGCTAGAGGCTTCGCCCCCATTGGCTAGTGTTCGTGGTACTGGAAAGGTACTCTGCGTGCTACAAAAAGTAATCATCAACCAACTACAAACCCTGCGACTTACAATGGTGACCTACCTGCACTATATGCTGGTGCAATGGGACACAAACATTGTGTGAGTAACCAACCACCGTAGGATTGGATTGAAGGCCCACAAGGTGTAATCCATGCCTGAATCTGCTAGGGTAGCCAGAAGCCTGAAGCTGGACAGACCAGAGAGCTAGAGGAAAACCAAACACTATTGTTGTGTTAAAGGAACAGGAACAGAGCATAAAATGACTCTTAATGACATATTGTTACACCCGTAGATCAGTGCCTCACTCAGCCATCATCAGAGAAGCTGCTGCTGCTGCTGCTTCTTGCAGCAGATGGGAATTAATACAGAGATCCACAATTGGACAATATCCAGAGAGTGAGACTTTGGAACACTTGGTCTTAAATGGGATGTCTTCTTCAAACCCCTCCCCTAAGGGCTCCTGGACCGAAGAGGAGGCAGAAAGACCAGAGGGGTTGATGGATGACTTCAACTACACTATTTTCCAAACACAACATGACTGATTCACATATGAACTCTGTGGCACCATGCACAGGGCCTGAACAGGTTCAAGTCAGATGGGGTTTCAGGGATGAGAGATGGAAAGTAGACACAGGCTCCCATTCCTAACCAAGAAGCTATCCAAAATTGATACCTGCTGCAAAGGAAAAATTAGTTTTCTTCAATGGAGTCTCAGTGGGTAGATAAACCACACTAGATGGCCAACACAAAACTAATTCAATGGTATTTCTGCAGACTTTTCGTCTCATTTTGCTTTGTTTGGGCATTTTATTTTTGTCATATTTGTCTTTTGCTTGTATATTTTACTTTCTGTTTGGGAGGGATTGTATGTGTGTTTCTTCTTTTTTGTTGTTTGTTTTTTGTTTTGTTTGTTTGTCTTCTAAAAAGAATGAGCATGGAGTTGGGGATGTGGGGAGGATCTATGAGGAGTTGGGGGAGGGGAAATCATGATCAGAGTATATTGTATGAAAATTTTTTTCAATTAAAAACAAATAAAAGAAAATGCCAGGTGATTCTAGTTTATGTGAAGGTGACAAATACCAACTAGTACGTCATCACAAACAACACCATGGTCATCTTGATCATCACAGATCAGATTCTCAAATACCAACCAGAACATCATCACAAACAACACCATGGTCATCTTGATCATCACAGATCAGATTCTCAAATACCAACCCGTACATCATCACAAACACCATGGTCATCTTGATCATCACAGATCAGACTCTCAAATACCAACCAGTACATCATCATAAACAACACCATGGTCATCTTGATCATCACAGATCAGACTCTCAAATACCAACCAGTACATCATTATAAACAACACCATGGTCATCTTGATCTTCACAGATCAGAAACTAAAGCAAAGTCCTAAAGTTTCAGAATCATTCTACAAATCAGTTAGGAAGGAGCCACCTGGAGATAGTCTCCCTAGAGTCTAACACATCTACTTTCCCCTCACAGCTGGTCAAGTTGCTGCCTCTCTAGCCCAGAACGAGCCAGTGTGGTTTGTTTAAGTGGAGACTTGTGAAAAAGCCATCTCTTTAAAGGCAAGAGTCATTCTAAGGCACATGGGAACTGAGATCTCCCGAGAGAACACCAGGCTTCCAACTCCCACCTCTACTTCCTAGAGGTGTTCATAGTGTAGCACTCAAATAGCAATTGCCAAGTAATTTCCATCTGGAACATAGCATCTGCCTGGGTTGTCTTTCCCTCAGCATGTGAGGGAAGCTCTAAGAAGGATTTGGGGATATAAACTCTGTGGTAATTCTAAAACAGCCTTTGATACTTTGAAGTGTAATTGCTTAGCAATGCAAAGATTTGGTGGTCCAAGAAAATGGTGAAATTCAATGATAAAACCAGCAGAGGTAGCATTTCCCTATGATCATAGCAAACCTCATAAAATGAGCATTTTCATAACCCTGCCCAAGGGGAAAGAACACCATTACAATTTCCATCATCATGACACAGGAAGGCGAGTGTCCTTGGGGCATGGATGAGTCATATTAAGGGAGGGAGCTGGATCCAGTTAGCACCCATTGTGCACAGACTCCAGATGTGATAAAGATCTGATATGATTGACAGGGTGGAAGAGGACCCAGAAATGCAGAGGTC